ACAAAGGTTCTAGCAGCGTCAACGATACCGGAATAAAGCTCGGCCACAGCAGGACGACCCTTCCTCCTCCCTTCCTTAGGTTTAGGCTTTGTACGTTTGCGTTTTGGACTAGCTGTAAGACAGCTGATATCGACATTTGGGCGATTTGCTATAATTTCTCGAAGTGGTGAACTCATTCCGGACGAAATACATACGATTCTTCAAACTAAAGTGAAAGAAGACAGGGTTGGTTTTCTTTCCCCCAGCCTATTAAGGGACGGGTGCTATCTTCAAACCCGCCCTGTTCATCCTTCGCTGGGCCATCAAACGATCTCAACAAAAGCTTGGTTTTAATTGTTGGAGAGCATGAATTTCGCGGTAACGCCTTGGAACTCAGTTTATAAAAGGGGGATTGTGGAGGTAACGCCTTTCGATGGGTGGGTAGAATTGAGGCGGAAGAGCTCTGTGATTTAGTTTCATAAAGGGTCGGACTGATGTATTGTGAGTTGGTACCGACTGGGGGTAATCCTCCCAGCAAACCCCCATTGACAGTTGGATCTTACACTGGGATAGATTATTGCGGTAACGCCTTGTGTCGTTCGCGTGTAAAGCACCACACAAAAGAACCGAACTACGAACCAATCAGCTTGAGCATCTTTGCTCTTTGGCGCCCGTTTCAAAGCCATGCAGCTCACTGGAGCAAAAGCATCATTTCGTGGGCATCCTTTTAAAACTGCAGCCTCTGTCATTTAGAAAGACAGTTGCCCGAGGAAAAATGTCTGCAAAACTAACAATTAGATGGCTCAATGAAAAATGGCATGGCATCGAAGAAGATGTGGTTCGGAGCAGGGTGAAATCTTGCGATCCCCTAGAAATCGGCATGGAGGTTCGAGTGAGCTACAAATCCAGTCACCACAGAGCAGAAATTGTACGACTCGGCGACAAAAGTAAGTCAGACAGCAGTTTTGATGTGTTCAGATTCACTGTTAGATCAGGTAGGAGATGGTAAACAAGGTGGTGGCGGGTAGCCGCACGAATGGACCTGCCCTTGTCTCTCGAATTTCCAAATTCTAATTGAATTTATGTATCATTTTATAGATAAATGAGAGATATCAAATTTGGTTTATAGAGGTCTAATAAATAAATATGTTTTTTTTTGCATAAAATGATTGAATATTAAACTTCCTGTCGCTTTGTTCACACTTGTGAAGGCTAACTGTATTACCGTACACTCAATTTTGATCCTATATCAGTCCTCTCATATGACTTTCAGAGATTTCTATCAATGGTAACCTAGAAACGTGAACTTGCATTATCAGATTCATTATTGTCATAACATCAACATTTTGCAGCTCGAGTTTTTAAATCCATGTACACTAATAATCCGTATGTGCAAGTATATACGACGTTCAGATTGGTTTTGACACTTGAGATTAAAGAGTGGCATACATCCTTTCACCACCGTGCATCCTTCAGGATGCAATTTGAAAATGAGTTATTAAAAGCTAAATTCAAGTTAATTTCCTATTTACAGAGAGAAAACTTTCGGAGGATTCCGATGATGACGACTTGCCGCTGGCAATGATAAAAAAAGTTGCAGTTGGCCCCGCCATCATTCCTGAGCCCCAGGAGCCGTCCGTTCCCATGACCGATGAACCCACGGTCACCGATCCTGAACCCCAGCAACCCGCAGCTCCTGAGCCCGAGGAACCCACCGGTCCCACTAGCACTCCACGGCCCCACGAACCCACCACCACCGATCCTGTGCCCGAGGAACCCACCGGTCCCACTACCACTCCGCGGCCCCATGACCCCACCACCACCGATCCTGAGCCCGAGGAATCCACCGCTTTCAAGCCCCGAGAATCCACCGCCTCCGCTCCCAAGCCCCACCCTTCATGGTTTCACCCAGCTGCGAACACCGTCGACAACCACTCTGCTCTCCTCCATCCTGAGTACGATCCACTTTCAGATTTCGACCTGGATCTTTCGGCAATTACCGGCTCCAACACCGAATGCACCCCTATCGTGCATCTCCTGACTTCCCAGCTTGCAATGGTAGTTGCCAAGCTGGATGAGCAGTCAGCTNCCTGAGCCCCAGGAGCCCACTGTTCCCATGACCGATGAACCCAGGGTCACCGATCCTGAATCCCAGCAACCCGCCACTCCTGAGCCCGAGGAACCCACCGGTCCCACTAGCACTCCGCGGCCCCACGAACCCACCACCACCGATCCTGAGCCTGAGGAACCCACCGGTCCCACTACCACTCCGCGGCCCCATGAACCCACCACCACCGATCCTGAGCCCGAGGAACCCACCGCTTTCAAGCCCAAAAAATCCGCCGCCTCTGCTCCAAAGCCCCACCCTTCATGGTTTCACCCAGCTGCGAACACCGTCGACAACCACCCTGCTCTCCTCCATCCTGAGTACGATTCACTTTCAGATTTCGACCTGGATCTTTTGGCAATTACCGGGTCCAACACCGAATGCACCCCTTTCGTGCATCTCCTGACTTCCCAGCTTGCAATGGTAGTTGCCAAGCTGGATGAGCAGTCAGCCGAAACCAGAGGGCTACAGAGTGACATTCAGAAGCTGCAAGGAGAAGTCAGTGAGCTTCGAGCTGAAGTTGAAGAGCTTTGGGACAAAGGAAAAAACGCGTCTAGCATACAGGAGCATCGTGAACCACAGTACATTGTCATTGACCAGACCACGATAACCATTGGCACATCAAACAATGCCACCTATACAATGGACAAGGATATTTATGATAGAATATTTGATAGGGTGAACAGTCCAAAAGAATTAATTGTTAAACTTATGGCCGAGGTGTTTACCAAAGAAAAGCTAGCCCGATCTAATTTCCATGGCGGTGTTGTGTTCAACGGGAAAGAAAGAATAAGTAAGGAGTGCATGCGAAAGAAACCTGCATTCGTTGCAATCATGTCTCAGGCGGCCTTCGAATTTCCTAGAGTAACGATCGACGACGACTTCCAAAAGGCACTGAAAGATGCCGTGAACGCAAAATGCCGAAAAGCATCGCTGTTGTTAAGGTTGTAGAAATGTTTAAAGTGTATTTCTGGAAATTCAGGTGAGGATATCTTTCGTAATAACGAATAGGCCTATGTGACATATTACCACCACCAACTTTGTGTATCACTTCC